TCACATAAAATATAAAATATAATTAATTCGAATACAACTGGTAAAATACGAACAAAACTCAAAAGTATAAGTGTTGCTATATTGTTCGGTGGTGATCATTGGCCCTCTCAAATAAAGAAAATAATACTTTGATCGCAAGAATTAACAAATTATGTATTAAATTGCTTTGAATTACTCAGTGTTGTGAACTTGATTTAAAAATGCAACGTTCGATGCCTTTAGCCTAGTTATTGTGTTGGATGACATGGAAGAGAGGCAAGGTGACATACACGGTGTTGAGCATAGACTATTGCTGATGTCGCATTGATCCAACAATTGAATTAGTTCTTCTGGCGTTGGTCCACCTCCAACCGATTGAACTGTTTATAGAAATTTTGGCATTTTGTTAAACACACATTTCTCACCGCGTAGACGAAAAATGAACGCTAAAAGTCTGAAAAATGTATATTACCTGCTGATTCTTTCTTTTGAATAAATTCTAAAGCTGTGGTTAGATCCCACATTTGAATGGCTCCATTACTGTGACCAGATAGAATGAAACGCCGTGGCATCGATCCCATGCGAGATGATTTTTCACATTCATGTACACAAAACGATGTTATGGTCGATCCATCAATTGATTTGATTACACAGACGCGATCACCATTTGATGCCAAACGGACATACAGTTGATCTGTTTCCGGTATTACTTTTTGTACAAACACTTGCTCATCATCTTGTTCTCCGAACGGTCCGAAATCATTTCCAGCTGAATAGCTGTACGCACTGTCAGTTGATTCCAACGAAACAATCTATTTAAACAAAATACAATAAGAAAATGCATGCAATTCTTGAGAACTTGTGACACCAGTATCGATGACAAACATGTAAATATGAAAATAATTTCGATTTACCTTGAATGATGCTTCTGGCGTAGAGCCGGGTTGCGTTGAAATCATTCCTCGAAATCGTGGTACACGCCATGTTCTCACATGATTATATTCGCTGCACACAGATATCAAAAACTCTTCCGACAATTTTACTTTGGTAACGGGACTTTGATGAACAGTAAATGTTTGGAATAATTGTGGACTATGTCCAACCGTTTCTGGATGCTGAACAATAACCCGTACACTGCCAGAGCGTGTACCATATGCGATTTCAATCCAATTGCCACACAGACCTTTAGTTTTCAAATGAAATCGAAAGGAAAAAAATTAAAATTTACCAAATGACATTCTTTTAGTGAACGACTACATCAACACGTTTCTTGCATAATTATGTTATTTTTTGTGGATAATTCTAATTGCCAAAGGAATAAAAATAAACTAAAGCAAGGACAGTTAATCAAGAACAAAAACAAACGAAACAGATACAAAATATGCCAGCACCAATCATACGTAACCAAATATAAAGATATGTGTCTTTAACGTGCTTGAACTTCTAATGTCTAATTTATTCTAATGTTTTTTTTTTGCTTTTGGTTATAATAATTTTTTCAAGCGAAGTTTCACATCCACATTGTCAACATTATGAAAAGATACAGAATCAAACTAACGAAAAATTGAAAACATAAAAAAGACACATTTTTTTTTTTGTATGAAACAACAAAATCCAAATGAACCCAATCGATTAAGATCGGTCGTTGCCACTTGTACATTTATTATGCGTGTGTTTATCTTGTATAAAAAAGAACTTTTATTGAAATGTCATTGTTTTTTTTTTAAATTGAAATCAATTGTGTTTTTTTTTTTAATTTTATGGGATTTTTACCTTCTTTCGTTTTGTCCGGTGCTGGCATGATAACAAGTGATTAGTTACTGTATTTTGGCTTAATTTATATTACTGATTTCGATTTCATTTTTGAAAATTCTTAAAAATGGGAATGCTAATTGTCTGACATAAAAAAAGTCCATGCAAATGTCGTAATACTTACTTGTGGTTTTTGGTGTTAAATACACAGATATGGCGGTAATGTGATCAAGTGTTGGATCTTTGTATAATTCAGTGACCAATAAGTCATTGTCCTTCATTCGCAGTGGAAATTTTTGCATATCTATAGAATCAAATATAAGATTTGTGTTTGTAATCGATGATATAACAAATGGATATTGTAAGGTATACCTATATAATAAATGCTGCCATTATTACATCCTAATAGCAAAAACGAGCCAGCCGTATCAAATGCTAAAATTGGGCATAGATCTTGGATTTGCCAATGTTGTGTCATCGCATGCCAGACACCAATTTTACCAGATGATGACAGTGCCACCAATTGATTGCCGATAAAAAATAAATATTCAACACGAACATTTAAATTGAATATGCCCACATCACTTTTATTTCCATCGTCTGATACGCGCCACAATCGAATTTGGTTGCCATACGAAATGGCCACCATTTTGCTTTGAGTTTTTTCATTTGCATTCGAAAAATTCACTTTTATCGCTAAACGTTCAATGGTTGCTTCAATGTACGGTGACGTGAATACCAATTGCCAGCCAGACGAATCTTTCAAACGATAACATGTGACAAAGTGTGGATATGCGGCTGAAATCCAATTATGATGTGCCTTGATTATTTGTACACGAAGTGGGTCATAGAAACCGGTCGATTGTTGATGTGGATTAAAAACGAGGCCAACATCATTGCGAATTATCTTGTTGAGATCAGCCGATGAATTTCTTGAATGTCGCATATCTAATGATGCGGTTCGTGAATGTGCCGATGCATTCCATCCTTGGGCATTTCGCTGTGCCGTGTTTCCATTGTACGATCGAAGATCCCAAGAAGAATTACGCGAATGACCCGAATGACGAGATGATGATGCATTATTTATACTGTTAAACGAACTGTCTCTTTGCAAATTATATTCTTCACGTTGGCCAAATTCATCGCGTTGACCTTCAAATTCGTCTCGTTGGCGATAATGTGAATATACAACACTTCCTGAAAACAAAAACATGTACAAAAACAATTTAGTAATAAATTGCGGTGATAATTATTGATTATTTTTTTTTAAACTTACGTCCATTGGCAATTTCTGGAACGCGAACCATTGAGCCTGGTCGAGCATTAATCATACTTCCAGATGCTAGAGTAACAGGAGCGGTTGCAACTGTAGCCGTGAATGGTTCTTGATTGGCCGAACAAGGCGTGGCCGATGCTTGTGATACATTTGTTTCAACCGAAGATGATGTTGAAGCCTGACTCATTGTAGTAGATGTTTGTGTTGTTGATGTCATTGCCAATGTCGTCGTTTCACTTATGTCTTGTCCGGGAACCACTGTCGAATCATAGTTAATCATGTCATTTTAAAATTAAAACACTCACACTGAAGAAACACTTACCGGGCGGTGTCAAATGTGCATAAAACCAAACATCGCCACATGATGAATGATTTAGATCTTCGCACAAAATCAATCGTCGTACCAATGGTGAAATGTTATAATATTCGGCCTCATGTCGTAATATTCTTAAATCACATTGTTTGATATCAATATCACGTGTGCGTAAATAATTTAAAATAATTCCAAATAATGTTGGATCACGGTCAATAAAAATGGCTCCACCCTCGTCACGCAGACTTGAAATTCGGCCACTGAGCAATGCTGTAAAAAATGTATCGGGTATACAGGTTAAAGTTTGTCGCGATGTTGAGAACCTATTAGCGGAGATAAAAAAAACACATAAATTATGAATAAACAACATTAATGCGCAAATTTCTATTTCATTTATATCATTTGAAACTCACTTTTTCCCACCGACATTCAAATGTACGATATCACCCGTGTAATTATTGTACGACATTATTTTTTTGATAAATAAATATATAAATATCAAATCACAATTTCGAACAAAACTCAATCGAAGTGGACTGTTTTATGTGAAAAACTGTTGTGCCCTTTTTTATCTCATAAACAACGAAGCCATTATTTGTGAAGAGATAACTGAATATATTGTTGTATTTATTTTTCTTTCAATTGTTGGCTCAATTCCCCCTTTACTTTACATATGTCTTGTCAATGAATACTGTTTTATAACAAACAAAAAATGACGTCACAAAACCGTAGTATTTGTAAATTTTGACATTTTACCAGTCTTACGTCTGGTTCACACAGGCAACGTTTTACTGCATTTTAAACGGAATTAATTAAAAAAAAAACGAAAAAATATTTTAATTTGGCGGAAATGGCGTTGTGAATAAATTACAACTACACAAAAAAAGAGCATTTTACATTTAACAAAATGTAATAATAGAATAAATTGCTGAAAACAAAGAAATATTAAGTCTCACACATACATTTGAGGCGTTTATCTTTTCACATCGCACACCATTGAAAATTCGGTCGTTTTTTGAATGTATTCGATTCGTGTGAGCGCATTAAATACATTCACTACATTATGTCGAAGATCAAATGGCAATATAGTTGAAGAAGTGAAAGAGTCGAAAAAAAAAACAAGAACAACAACATACGAGCCATCGTTTATATAAATATTTTCATTTTTACACCGCAATACCTATACACCTAACACGTATTGGGCAGCCCGTCATCATCATCATCATCGTTGTATTTCATCGTTTTATTATTCGTACGCGTATAACATTTGCGCTGAAGCGAAAGGAAAAGAGAAAAATAAAACAACACACATAGATTCGTATTGGAATTTTTTTTTGTATTTCGTAGCCCATCGGCCGAGAAGAACTTTCGACTTCGCTTTCTTTGATTTTGTAAAATTAGTGTTTAATGATAAGCTATTGAAGCACGAATTAAAAGGAATATGGGGCTGTGCAAAAGTTTTTATCGATTAGTTAGAAATTTTCTAATTGTATTCTTCCTCGTTGTATTGTTACCTGGTTTGCCGCCTAAGACGCACTTCGATTTTCAATCATTTATGTAAGTTAATTTCTTTTTTACCTTCGTCACATCGAAATATTTACACCCAGTCATGGTCGAATTGCAATTGAATTTTTTCTTTATTCAATTTATCTTCTGGTATAATTTTTATTCTGGTATTTAATGGCTTTCACTGTTGTTGTTTTTGCTTTTTTTGTGTATTTCGTTCTATCGTTGACATTGGATGATCTCATTAACATGAATGAAATAAAAAAAAGTCACATCGCCACATCAAATCAAAACACGTTTCATTTTTGGTATCAGAGAAATGTTTGAAGTGAAGAAGAAGAAGAAATTTCACACAAAAATATTATTATTGGTAAATGAATAGAGTGATAAAATTGAACATAAAATTAGTTTACACAAAGCGAGTGCTCATTAATTGGTCAAGGCGAAGAAATCATACAAAACTCCAATATTCAATTGTGCAATGTTTCGTTGCCGGCTCATTTGAATTTTATTCACAATGAATACCATTAGTATGTACAGACGATTTGCGTAATGTTTGTAGTACTGCAGATGTCAGACGGTGATTGTTTATTCTCCTTATTATTGGTAAATCTCATTTAGATACGTTCTTATTTTAAATGTTGTGAATTGTGTGTTCAACAAAAAAAACATTACGACACCTTTTTTGTTGCGAAATGCTTTTGAGTGTACAAATACCCGATATGATAAGATTCGACTCTTTTCTCTTACCCATATAATGAGCTGTGATGTTTTTTAATATTCAGAAAAAAAACTCCATCAATAACGTGACAGTTTTTTCATTCATTTTGCTTCTTACACTCTTTCGCTCTTACTCGCTTTATCTCGCATTCTTCTCTCTCCATTTTTCTACTTTTATTTATTCTTTTTAATCAAATCGCATTTCATCAAACGATTAATTTGATTAATTCACAGAATTCCAAAACCATTAGATTTAACGGGTCCGTTAGAAGTAAATAATTTGTTAGATAATGCAGAACGATTGTTGGAAGGTCGAGTACATGGACCTGAAACATTGTTGATGCGTAACAACGAAATCTACACAACCGTTCATGGTGGTCAAGTGATCAAAATCAATGGTGATCATATTACTCATGTGGCTAAATTTGGAAAACCATGCGGTAAATATCAATTAATCGATTTTTTTTTTTCATTAATTTTTTCAAATTCATTTCAATTTATAACTCGTTGTTATAATTTAAATAAAAATATCTTATTTAAAAAAAAAATCCATACAGAGGGCTTCGTTGAAGAAAGAATTTGCGGACGACCATTGGGTTTGGCGTTTGATACTCTTAACCCAAATAATTTGATTGTTGCTGATGCTTACTACGGCATTTGGTCGGTTGACTTGACCAGCGGAAAGAAGACGCAATTGGTTTCGCCAGAGGAAATATTGGATGGAAAAGTATTTTTTTTAAAGACACTCAACAAAACATGCTGATTAAACTAATATTCGTTTATGTTTGTTTACGCAATAGATTCGTCGACCGGCAAGCATCTTCAATGCAGTTGCTGTATCGAAAGCGGGCGATATCTTTTGGACCGACTCGTCATCTGATTTCAAACTTGATGATGGTGTTTACACGCTACTCGCCAATCCATCAGGTCGTTTGTTCCAACACATTCGTGCAACAAAACAAAATAAATTGCTTTTGGATGAATTATACTTTGCAAATGGTGTCGCATTGTCGCCAAATGAAGATTTTGTTGTTGTATCAGAAACGGCCGCGTCACGTCTTAAACGCTACTATTTGAAAGGTGCGAAGGCTGGTCAAAGCGATATATTTATCGATCGTTTACCAGGTGCCACCGATAATTTAACACCAGATGCTGATGGTCTTTGGGTGCCACTTGTTCTGTCAATCGACAATGAAAATCCTGGTCTCTGGCAATCAGCTGCAAATGCTCCACTTGTTCGGAAATTTTTGGCACGTACACTTGCTTTGATTGAATTACCATTTAAATTCATTGAAAAGGTTTACTCAAATTTCTATACACAAATGATTGTTCACAAAATTGGACATTTTGAATCGTTGTCGATGTCACCATCACGTCAAACTATCTTGCGTATCGATTGGAATGGTAAAATTATTGGTTCATTGCATGGCTTCGATAAATCGGCGCATGGAGTTGCGCATGTGCTTGAGGCTGGTGACTATTTGTACTTAGGTTCGTTTGCTAATAAGTATTTGGGCCGCGTAAAGTTGCCAAAAAGTTATAAAAATGCTGAAAAACAACAGGCACCCAAAGTCGAAACAACAACAACAACAACAAAAAAACCAGTTACAACAACCACCCCGAAGCCCACCACCACAACTACACCGAAACCAACAACAACAACAACAACAACAACGACGCCGAAACCAACAACAACAACTCCACCACCACCAAAGCAAACAACAACTAAACCAACTGATGCTCCAAAGCAAAAAACAGCCAAACCAACCGATTCGAGGAAGCCAGCCCCAATTCATGAAAATGTCGTTGACGTTCCAGAACCGCCAAAGGAAGAAAAACTCAAAGTGATTAAAAAAGGTGGCGCCCAAGGCGAACTTTAAGCCATTTTTATATTCACACAACAACAACAACAGCTAATAATATCGCATTAGATTCGAAGTAAACAAGTGACGATATAAGTCATTTGACCGCTCACCATAATCAATCGTGAATAGACGTTATATGATATTTTTTATCGCAAATTAACGACTTAACATATTTATTGCATTCCAAGCAATCGCATTCCAATATAGAAACGTTTTTTCTTCAATCATTCCATTTATGCCATCGCACACATTGTGCGAAATTGTGCAACAATTTATCATAAACTAGAGCAATGCAATAACTTTATCGATTGAATTTAGCTACGAAAAATGCTTCTGATGTAGAATTTAAATACTCTGAACTAAAAAAGAATACTAAATACAATTATGCAACGATTCATTTTTATTTTGTTATGAGCAAAATATCGAAATATTGAATAAAGCGATTAAGTTCTGGTATATATTTTTTTGTCATACTCTTTGAGTAGGTTGAGTTGAATTGAATTTGTTTTATTTTCGATGGGAAGCCACTGATGTTTGTAACGAATATAATTTGTGTGAATATTATGCAAATGGATATCTTTTAATGGGCGATGTGAGAGTCATCTATTGTGAGTCCGGTGTAAGTATAGTAAACAGGATAGGTAAGCTTCTTAATAAAATGCTCCTTGTGCTAGTATCATCAAACGGAACAAACATGGAAAATTGTTCACACAAACAACATACAAATACATAGGAAAAACACACCCCCAAACAAAATGCATGGCACGTAAAGACATCGGCAGCAGAAGCTTTTGTATTCGATAGCGATGCTATCAGAATGGGATATTATCAGTCCTTTCGCGACGTTCAACGCGATTGTATCACAAATACAGCAGAGAATTTAGTGATTTTTTTGTTTGGTCGCTTTCAATGTTGGTTTCGAAATTCAAATATTTCAAACGGCAAATATAAGATATTCAAAACAACCAAAATATATCAATTGGTACAAAATCTGATGAAAAATACGAAATTATTTATGTCAATTTGATTGGTGATAATTCAAAGGAAAAGGTGCTTATTTATTAATCGTGTTTAATATTTTAGTTATTTTTTGCTGCCGTTTTTCTTATAAATAACCGACAAATTTGCCTTGCTTGGAAATAAAAAGTTCATTTTGGTTGATTTTCACACTGGAAGCGCTTTAAAATGTAATTAATAATCATTTTCATCGTAATGTCCAATGAGAATTATTTTATTTATTTTCATTTGTTATGATTTGAACGTAAATGATAAAGGATAAAATTCAAAAGGATGGAATTTGTTGCAATTTATGAAATTGGTTTACCGCATTGACTGAATTTGTGACATTTCAATGATTTTTGTTGCAATTTTACAGATTTGTCATTTTGCCCTTTCTTTACCATAAAAGTTGCCAAGCAATCCATAAAAGCTGAATCATTGGGAACTGTGTTTTTGTATGGTTTGTGCTTGTCCGCACGGCACGGTATCAATAAAATAAATACATTTCTTCTTATGAAATTTGATTCAATTGATTCTCGTTTTTTTTTCGATGATGAATGAAAAAAGTTTCAATGATTAATAAGTAGATCATACTTCATTATTATTAAATTTCAAAAATGTTCGAGTATGTTTCTAAGAATTATTAAAATCCTGAACTATTCGATCCATAATAATTGGCCATTATTATCAATGTATATTTGAATTTTGTTTAAATGCTAAATTTTTTCAATGAAATGATATCGTATTGTTAAACCGCACGCACGATTCATCATTTTAAGAAATGACGACAATTAATCGGAGCGAAGAACGAACATTTAAAGTATTTGAGTGATAAAATTGAGGAAATCAAAACCATGGAATTGCCCCATCCGTACAGCATCATCAAATTGATTGCCAAACGGAGCACTAAATCCAACATTTTTGTGTGTTTTCAATACCACCAGTGCTCGTTTTGTATCATTATAACGGAATTTCTCTTTTTACTGCAGTATCATTAAAAGCGAGTGCGTATTTTATGGTTGTACTTTCAATTAAAATGCCAATTTAATTTTGCGGCACCAATTCATCAACAATTTAAAACGACAATTACCTTTTGTAATCAAAGTTTTGAGAATTTTTTTGTTCGTGCATTGTTTGTACGACGTTGTGGCATGCGTGAAGATAGTAGCAGGTAAAATTTGCTGCATGTATGGGAAATTAAAAATAGACAATAGATTTAATGCTTTTAATGCTCCCGAATACATCATGTTTGTATGTGTGTGTGAAAATATTTAGTCTTCTCAGTGTTTTTCGATCAATTTCCATTTGAGTTTCACATACTTGTCCATTATACGCTTAATTTTAAGTTGCCGTTTACATGAGCACATATTGATAATCGATAAATGTTTTTTTTTCTATTAGAAAATAAACTTGAGGATAATTCAAAATAGTCTGTGTTTAATGTGGCGAGTCGATACATTGTTTACGTTTTATTTTGTGTTATTTCCACAAAATTGCACACAGGGTGGCTGCTGTGTGGGTGTGCTTATTCCATTCGATTTAAGAGTGAAAAATGTCACCCAAAATATCGTTATAAATGAAATGAAAATCGCAAAACTTCCGTAATCGTATGAGTTATGCCACGATGATTTTGACTATATCTAATTGCTGCATAAGAAAACAAACGATGTACTTAACATTTAAAAGATAAAGCGAAGTTTTTTTTTCTTTATTTCTCTCTTTTTCTCGCCAAATCATCTGGATGAATGTGGGCGTTGATTGTTCTAAATGAATTTTTGTAATTGATCATCAAAGGCAATCGTCAATTATAAGACGTATAACATTTTTAATGGTTTTTTTTTCTTTATGGTATATCTTTGTAAAAATGTTGTTCGTGCTTAAGTAAGGTTGGGAGTTTCAAGTGTTTATTGATAAAAATATTAAGTTCGTTTTAAATTTTTTCACGTCAAGTCCCATTTCAACACCAAAAAAATGATTGGTAAAATCGAGATAATACCGCGTGGGAGATGTACTCTTATTTAACGGAAAGAAGTTTTATGGTGATGTTACTGAGATGCCGTGTCCTATCTACGCGACAAAAACTGAAAAGAGGAATCTAGGGGCAGAGCAGTACTAGAATAATAATTTTTGTTTAGAGTAATTCTATGTTGTGAGTAGTAATCCATATTAATCCGCAGTAATACACACTTGTGTAAATTCTAACAGCAGTGCAATGACATTTCATGTGTACGATGTGCATTACATTTGTTAGGAATAAAGCGATCGTCGTATTTTAGTACTGCTCTGCCCCTAGAGAGGAACACACTGAAAAATGCAAACGATAAAGAATTCTGTTGAGTTAACATTTGACTTTAAGTTTATATGGTTTATGTTATAACAACGTAAACATTTCATTAGTTTAAAACCAATTTATGAATATTTTAATCGCACACTGCACACGCAAATGCTCAGCGCGACTGGTTTCCTATCTACACAATGCAGATTTTCAATTCACTTTCATAAATTAATCCATTTTGAGTTTGTCGGTAAATAAAGTGGTTTAGATTCTATCGTTGTAAATACATTGTAGCTTCAACAGCAGTTTACGTTGATTTTGTTGGAAAACGACCTTCACGCTTTTAAAAATAATAATAATAAAAAAATGGATAGAAAATTAAAACAAATGCAAACAGAAGAACCAAGCCGGAAAAATAAAACAGAAAACAGAAACAAAGCCATCATAGTCAAGTAAAAATAAATATCCAAGAGAGCGAAGCATTGAATGTTTTTAAAATACACATATGCCACGCACACTTTTCACATCAGCAAACAACCTCCTCTCGCATATCAGATGAATCTAAGAAACACACAGACCCATGGAGACAAATGAAGGATTAAGATCTAGGTTGTTTGAATGCACGTGTGTTTCCTAGTTTACGACGAAAATTTTCCTGCTTCTAGTCTCCTTTCGCTATTGCTATTGCTCTCTCTCTCTCTCTCTCTCTCTCTCTCTCTCTCTCTCTCTCTCTC